TGGCACAGGACTAGTTTCTTTCTCTTGTGCATAGGATTTCTATTAGTCTGAACTGACTCAGCAGTGCCTAAGGTACAATCTTAAGTCATCACTATTAACTGTTCTTTCTAGTACAAGAATATGAACCTGAAAGTTTTTCTGTAGGGACTAGTCCAGCCCACAAATTTTCATGTTTAATTGTGCATAAGATCACTATTAGTTGGAACTGACTCAACAGCACCTAAAAATCAGCAAGCAACAGCAACAAGGTACAATTGCAAGTCATCAATAGTAACCCTTTCTTCCTTCTAATATAAGAAATATAAGTCTGAAAGTTTTTCTGAAGGGACTAGTTCAGATACATTCCACAAATTTTGATGTTTTGATTACCATTTACTTTTAAATGTTCTGTAATTTCCCTGTGATTTATTTGACCCATAAATTATTTAGAAGTGTGTGTTTAATTTTCAAATATGTGGAGGTTTTCTACACTTTTTTTTTGTTGTTGTTGTTACTGGCTTTTAGTTTTATTCCTTTGTGGTCAGAAAGCATATTTTGTATGATTTTAATCTTTATAATATTTAAGACTTGTTTTATAGCTTGAGATATGATCTATCGCAGTGAGTGTTCCATGTGTACCTGAAAAGAATGTGTGTATTATGCAGTTGTGTGACCTAAATGTTCATTAGACCAACATGGTTGATAATATTGTTCAAATCTTCTATATACATACTGGCTTTATATATAGTAGTTTTTATATATATCAGTTGCTAAGAGATAGAGTGGCTTATAAATTCTTAACTATGATTTTGAATTTATTTTCCATTTTTGTTGCTTTTTTGTATTTTGAAGCTGTACTATTAAGTACATACACATTATAGATTGTTAGATCTAAAAAGATCATTATAATATGTCTAACTTTTCTTTTGGTGTTACTCTTTGTCTTAAAGTCTACTTTGTCAGATTTTCATGTAGCCACATCAGCTTTCTACTGTTTGTGTGGGATCTTTTTTCATTCTTTAACCTGTGTCATTTGCCTTTATTTTAAAAATAGATATCACTATACACTTTGTTGTTGTTGTTGTTAAGTGCTGTCGAGTGGGTTCTGATCCATAGCGACCCCGTATAGGGTTTCCAAGGAGCGGCTGCTGAGCTTGAACTGCTGACCTTGGAGTCCATCTTTTTTACATCCAGTCTACCACATTGCCTTAGAAGCCAGGATGGCGAGACTTCATCTGCCTACTTTGCATATAGTATCAGGAGGAACCAGTCCCTAGAAAAGAACATGGTTGGTAAAGTGGAGGGTCAGTGAAAAATAGGAAGACTCCCAAGGAGATGGATTGGCACAGTGGCAGCTGTACTGGGCTCAAGCTTAGCAACAATTGTGAGGATGGCACAGGATCAGGCAGTGTTTAGTTCTGTTGTGCATAAGGTCACTTTGAGTCAGAGCTGACTCAATGACACCTAACAATAACAACAAAAACAACAACAGTCAGTGTCTGTTTAGCTTGTCTTTGTTCCACAGCATCTTAATTCCATGGCATCCTGGCAGGGCACTGTAGGTTCATGTGCAAAGTCGGCGGTTTAAGCTCACCAGTCTCTCCTCCGAAACCCTATACAGGGTTGCTCCAGGTCGTAACCCACTCAAAGGCATTCAACAGCAACAACAAAGTTCCATTATTCTAGCGGTTGTTCTAACCCTCTCGCCCACCGCCATTGAGCCAATTCTGATCTGACTCAGTGACACTATAAGACAGGGTAGGAACGCTCCACAGGGTTTCTGAGGCTATGAATCTCTATGGAAGCAGACTCATCTTTGTGCAGCTGAATGTTTGAACCGCTGACATCTCAGTTATGAGTCCAGCATTTACTGCACCACTAGGGCTCCTTTGCTCTAAGGCCGTGTTCCTCAGACATTCCTCAAAGCGTTAGAATCACCTGAAGGTTTATATAAAGCACAAATTGTCTGAGTTAGTAAGTCTTGAATGGAGCATGTAGTTTAACATCGTGGCATGTTCCTAGATGATGTTAATTCTACTACTGGCTGAGGGAGCTTACCTTGGCAACTACTACTCTAGTGAGTATAGTATATACTCTTGTTGTTCCTGTCGAGTGCTGTCGAGTCTGTTCTGACCCATAGTGACCCTGTAATAGGGTTTATAAGGAGCAGCTGGTGAGCTTGAACCACCAATCTTGTGGTTCGAACTGACTTTGTGGTCCAATGTATTAACCCACAGTGCCATACAAGTCATTTCTGACTCAGTGACTATATACACAACAAAAGGAAACACTACCCAGCCTGCACCATCCTCACAATTGTTATGTGTGAACCCATTGTTGCTGCTACTGTGTCTGTCCATCTTGTTGAGAATCTTGCTCTTTTTTCCCTGACCCTGCACTTCTCTAAGCCTGATGTCCTTATCTAGGGACTGGTTCTTCATGACAATATGTCCTCAGTAAGAAAGACTAAATCTCACGGTCCTGGCTTCTAATGTGCTTTTCTTTCTAGTCAGATTTGTTTGTTCTTCTGGCTGTCCATGGTACTTTGAATATTCTTCTCCAGCTTCATAATTCAAATGCACTGATTCTTCTAGAGTCTTCCTTATTCATTCTCCAATTTTTATATACATATGAAACCATTGAAAATACCATGGCTTGGGTGCACTTTAGTCCTTACACTGTGATATCATTGCTCTTAAATACTGTCAAAAGGTCTTTTGCAGCAGGTTTGCCTTATGTAATCTGTCGTTTGATTTCTTGACTGCTGCTTCTATGGACAGTGACTATGCATCCAAGCAAAATGAAATCTTTGACAACTTCAGTCTTTTCTCCATTTATCATGAGGTTATTTATTCATCTGGTGGTGAGGATTTTCATTTTCTCTACATTGAAGAAAGTGTTTTTTCTTTACTGAAGGCTATAGTCTTTGATCTTCATCAGCAAGTAATTCAAATCCTCATCACTTTTTTGTGAGCAAGGTTGTATCATCTGCGTATAGCAGGTTGTTAATGAGTCTACCTCCAATCCTGGTGCTATGTTCTTCTTTATATAATCCAAACCCACTGCCATCGAGTAGATTCCAACTAATAGCTACATAGGGGCTGCTTCTCACCTTTTGTCTGCGTTTGTACAGTTGGTCCATAATGTAACCTTCTTTCTCTTTGCTGATCCTACTTTATATGATCTCTTCCACTCTCCTGACTTAGAACAATATCCATAACCTGATTACGTCTCTAGCCCAGACCTCTCACTTCCTCCAGAGCTGTGCATTTAACTGCCAAGGTATACCTCCACTTTTATGCCTACCCAACAGCTCTTAGCATGTCTGAGACTGAGGTGGGGTTTTCTTGTTGTTGCTGTGTGCCATAATTTTCCATAAACCACATGTTCCCACAATCTTCTTTGTCTTAATTACAGTCAGTTCTATTGTTATAGTTATTCAGCCAAAGAATCTGTCTCTCTAGTGTCCCACACCTTGTTAGTCAGAAAATCCTGGCAGTGCAACGTTCAGAATACATCTAGGATCTAATTACTCTTGTGGTCTTCCCTGCTACCACATTGACCCAACCCACCATCGTCTCTCTACTAAATGACACTATTTGCCTCTGACCCCTGGTCTCCCTGCTTCTGTCTTCGATCCACTGTGGTCAGTTTTCAGCACAGCAGCCAGTGTGATCCTGTTAAATGTAAACCTGATCATGTCACTTCTCTGCTCAAAGCTCTCTGGTTTGGTGGCTTCTCATTTCACTTGGAGCAAAAGCCAGCATCTTGAGTGTGACCTTGGTGGCCCTACATGATCCTATGAGCTGTTTCTCTTCATCTTCTCTTACTCTACTCAGTCTCTCTGCTCACCTACTCCAGTGTTCTTGCTGTTCCTAGAATATGCCAGGCATTCCCCATCCTACCTGTACCTCATTGTTTTTTCCTTTGCTCTCTGCAAGGTACGTTTTCTCTCACAGTTAGCTCCCTCATTTCCCTTTAGAATCATATTTTTAAATCCCCTTTGCAGTGAGACCTTGCCTATACAATCTAAGCTTTCGACACCCTCTCCTGCCTCTGACAAACTATGTGCCCTTTCTCTTCTTTATTTTCCTCCCTAGCACTTATTAATGTCTAGCATTATATATGGTCCCTGGTGTGGTGCTGTAGGATAAGCACTGGACTGCTAACCACACTAACTGGCAGTGTCAGCAGTTTAAGCCCACCAGCCACTCGCAGAAATCCTATACAGGGCTGCTCGGAGTCAGAACCGACTTGACAGCAAATAAGAAGCAGCATTTTATACATTTGACCTATTTGCCTTATGTGTTGGTATCTGCCCCCCTCCTCCACACCCACAAACACTACAATGAAAGTTAACAGGAGCAGAGACGTTGCTGTGTGTCTTGCTTATTGTTGGATCCCCAGTGCTTTAATGGCACCTGGTACCAAGTCATTATTCAGTAAATATTTTTGAATAAGTAAATGAATAGGAGAACTAGGGCACAAGTTTTCATTTCACCAGCAGCTTTACTCTCTAAGCATATGCTTTGCCCAGATCTAAATTCTTTTAGGTCAAGTTCGTCTGCAAAATGTGAGATAGTTAAGCATTTCCAGTTGTACAATTTGAAAGTCTTGCCAGTGAAATCATATATGTAAATGGTAGGCAGGCATATAGTAGCTATAACAGGTGCAGCAGGCCCTTTGTTTAGATTGGTGCTGTTGGAATATCTGAATGAAATTTGTATCATCACCTGAAAGAGCTCCTACAGTTATCAAAAACTTCTAACAATAGGGGAGATAAGGTATGATTTGCGTAAGAACCTGTTTGAAAGTAAATGGTAATGTTAGTCTTCTCAACTGTAATCTAAAGTCTCAGCTGTGCTGTTCAGCTGATCATCCTATTGTTTAAATTATCCCATAAATGTTTCCCTTCTGTTTTTTTGAAGAAGACATTTAAGTCCAGAAAGGGGAAATTTCATTCCCCTTGGCACTTTGTAATAGTCTTAATTTTAACAATTGTCTCTATTATTTTTAATCAGGGCAACACAACTATTTATGTGCTGGAAGAAATGATTGCATCATTGATAAGATTCGACGGAAGAACTGTCCTGCCTGCAGACTTCAGAAATGTCTTCAAGCTGGAATGAATTTAGGAGGTAAGTTTTGTGCTTAATTTAATGTAGCTTGTTAATAATGTCATACAACAGTACCGGGATCTATGTGGAGTCTTGGTGTGGTGCACTGTAGGATAAGCACTGCACTGATAACCTCAAAGTCAGCATTTCGAACCCACCAGCCACTTCTTGGAAGCCCTGTACAGACAGGGTCACTATGAGTCGAAGCGATTCGATGACACTTAACAACAACAAGATCTGTATACTCTCTAAATTTAAAGTAAAGTTAAGGTTTCTATAAATCCAATTAGTTCTGTTTTTCAGGCTAAAATAGTTTAGGAGAAAAATATTTCTTAGCTGGAGTTTAAAAAGAGCTGTGTTATGTGGCTCTGGTCCTCGTGAAGGCTTCAAACCCGAGTTTACTAAAGCTTCAAGAATTGGGCACTTGACCAAAACAAAAATAAATGACTTTTTATATGAAACTCTAGTTAACAGTTTTTAGTTTCATGTCTGTCTATAAATAGTACTATATTATGTAACATTGTCCAGATAAAAAGGCATTGTTAACCCTAAAATTAAATGTAATAAGAGTAAAAGAAAATGTATAAGAAACAAAAAAAAATACTGGAAGACATTGGGATATGGAAAGGGGAGAAAGACTTGAACCAAATGCAGAAGTCGGCAACGCTCATGAATGGGAAGATTTAATAGCCTGAAATACGAGTGTTTCCTAAGTTAGTTTAAAAATATACCACAGTCCTAATAAATATACCAGTTGAGTATAAGTTCTTAAAAAAAAAAAAAAAATACAGCCAGGAAACTTCTGAAGAAGATTAGCCATACCAGATACCAAAATATATTGTTATTTTTGGTTGCTACACAGCTACAGTAATTAAAATAGCCTGTGATATTGGTTATATTGATGATCACATTATGGAACAGTTTGGAAAATCAAGAATAGATCCAAATAATACTGTTAAGTTTGTGTATGATAGAGCTGACATTTCAGATCAGTGGATAAAGGATAGATTATTCAGTAGACAATATTGTGATAGGTGAGTATCCATCTGGAATCCAAGAAATTAAATCCAAGCTCTAAGTATACACCAAAATAAATTCTGGTGTTTCAAAGATTTCTACTGAAAAATAACCACAGAAGTACTATTAAAAAAAAAACAAAAAAAACACAGAAAAACACTCATTTATACTATTGGAGTACAAAGACATGAGCATGAAATAAACCTAAAAGTTATTAATTCATTTGTTAGAAAATCCACACTAATTACAAATCAAATATTACTGAAAAGGCAAGGATAGAAAGGAAACTAGGGGGAAGTATTTGCAAATTACAGATAAAAGGTTTATTTTTCACAAAGATAAAGAGCTACTACTTTATTCATAAGAAAAAGGAGCCAACTAACTGGAAAAATGGTAAAACATGTAGAAAGACCATTTACAGAAAGAAGTTCTTGAGACAATACAATTGGTTCTTGAAACATGACAGTATTTCGTGGACTGTCAGAAGAGCAAGATATAATCTGTCTTAGAAGAAGTACAGTCAGAATGCTCTTCAGAATCAAGGATGGTGAGACTTTATCTTAAATACTTGGGACATGCTATCAGGAAGGTACTCTTTCCTGGAGAAGAACATCATTCTTGGTGAAGTGGAGGGTTGGTACAAAAAAGGAAGACAGTCAATGAGATGGACTAACATGATGGTTACAAAGAAATAGGCTCAAACAGTTCCCATTATGAGAATTGTTTAGTTCAATCATTGTTTAGTTCTGATACATAGATCACTATGAGTCATAACCTACTTGACACAACCTAACAACAGTATGTACTAATGGAGTTCCAGAGTGGTGTAAATGGTTAGAAAACTAGATTACTAACCAAAAAGTTGAAGGTTTGAGTCTGCTGATTGACACTTGGGAAGAAAGGCCTGGCAATATACTTCTGAAAGTTGTCTATTGAACACTCCATGGGGAACAGTTCTATTCTTCATACTCGTGAGTAGTCTTAAATCAGAATTGACTCATTGACAGCTGGCAGTAAATACTATTAAGGACCAATCTCCCAGATATTTCTCAGTGAAAAAATAAGGTTATAAAGTAGTAGGTTTTGTATGCTATGAAGTATATATTTATTTTAAAGAAAAATATGTATTTTATAGAATATTCTAGACTAATGATACAAGAATCTAGCAATGTGGATTATGTCAGTAAAAATGTCTGGTAGTCTGGAGACAAGAGCAGGAATAAGACGCAATTGTCACTGTATATCCTATTGTGCCTTTGAATTGTACATTATACAGAGCATGTGCTTATTTTAAAAGAAAGTAATTTGAAAAATAAATAAAATGGGACTTCATCCTTTCCTTTGATGCATGAATCAAGTGGCTGGAATTCAAGACTTAGTAGAAATAACTGTTTGCAGAGCAGGGGAACTCTTAGAACTGAAGGGGAGAGGGTAAGCCATGACCTGCTGAGACAAGCTAGTAATGAAGGTGTGTCTTTAGTGGCTTAAACAGTAGCTCAGAGCTGGGAGCCTGAATTGGTTAGGAGAGCTGGCTCTGCCCTGCCGATTACTCACCTTGTCATCTTAGGTAGGTTTACCACTTTCCTGTGTCCAGTTTCTTTATCTTCAACTCAGGTAGACTGGTGTACCTGCCACATAGGCTACAGTGAGGATTATGTGAATAAATGTACAGCAGAACAAGAAGTGACGACTCACTATATGTAAGCTAACATTGTGGCAATAGTAACACTCACTGCACATTCACACATGATCTCATTTTAAAAAATGTATTTTGTTGTTATTGAAAATATTCCCAACACTACATATATCAACTAAACAATTTTTATAGTGCAGTTCAGTGATACTTGATAATATTCGATAGGTTGTATAACCATTCTCATCTTGTTTTCTGAACCGTTCCTCCTCCATTACTGTGAACTCATTTTATTCTATCAACATCCCTCTGAAACCTCAGAAAAGACGTTCTTTGGTGAGGGTGAGCTGCTGATGCTCAGATAATGAGATGACTTGTCCACAAATGTCAGAGCCAGTGAGAGAAAGAATCCAGCTAACCTTAGATCTTTGAACTCTTGGCCTGGTGGTGTTTCCAGTATAACACACTGGTCTTTTTACCTAATGTTTGAATCTCATACGTGACACAGAAGATCAGCTTTGTGCCGTGTGAGTGAGGATCAGGCTAAATTGGTAATCATTTAAAATCTAAATGACCCAACTATATGGCCAAAAGCTGCTTTGTAAAATCCATCATCTGGATTCAGAAAAACAAAAACAAAAATACTAGAAGTTAATGTTTTTAAAGTATTCAGATGCTATGTAATATATATTGATGTTTCATATGTATAACATCTGTACAGATAAAGATGAGGGGGGTTTCAAAAAGTTAATGGAAAAATTCCATCGTTTTGTAATTTATATGTTCCATGAACCTTTGAAGCCCCCTTGTATGTAATGTTGTTGTTAAGTGCAGTCGAGTCGGTTCCGACCCGTAGCGACCCTGTACAGGGTTTCCGAGGGTGTAAATCTTTACGGGAGTAGAAAGCCTCATCTTTCTCCCGCAGAGTGGCTGGTAGTTTCGAACCACTGACCTTAAGGTTCGCAGCCCGATTCATAACCACTACACTATGTAATATTAATATTGTTGCAAAATAATGGAGTCCTGGTGTGCCACTACAGGATAAGCATGGACTGGTAACTGCAAAATCTGCAGTTCAAACTGACTAATCGCTCCTTATAACCCCTATACAGAGTTACTTCCGGTTAAAACTGACTCAGCGGCACTTAACAGTAACAACAACATACAGTAATAGACCTGTTACTATTTGTTATTGGCCACACTAACAATTCTTAATCTCATAGGGTTATTTTAAAGATAACCTGAATTAACTGACTTAATTTGTAAAATACTTAGAATAGGGTTTCTCAGTCTTGGTACTATTGACATTTTGGGCCACATAATTTTTTGTTATGCCGGACTTTCCTATGCATTGTAGACTCTTTAGGAGCTCTGCTGGTCTCCGCCCATAGTTGACAGTAGCAACATTGTCTGTATCCACTGAGAGGGGAAGAAATCACTCCCCATTGAGAACCACCAGTTTAGCAACACTAATAAATAATGTTATTGTGTTAAGTACCATTCAGTCAGTTCCAACACACAGCGACCTTGTATAGGGTTTACGAGGAGTAGCTGGTAGGTTTGAACTGCCAGCCTTGTGGTTAGCAGTCCAGTGCTTATCATACAGTGCCACAGCAGGATTGCCTACATATAACATATTAAGCACTATTTAAGTGTTAGGAGTCCTGGTGTGGCGCTGTGTGTTAATGTGCCAGACTACAAAGCCGTTGGAACGGCAAGGTCGGTGGTTCAAACTCAACAGCTGCTCCTTAGAAACCCTCTATAGGGTCGCTGTGGGTCAGAATCTACTCAACAGCGCTTAACAACAACAATTTTAGTGTTAGAGAATAGTAACACTATTTTAGAATACACATTTCATCAGGGAGGAGTATCCGTCTGGGCTTTTTTCTCAGTGACTAGAATAGTACCTGACACAAAATATGTATTAAATATTGATACACATTAGTTGAATAAATGAATGTCTCATTGTTGTTTCTGAAGACCTGCTCCGTTTTAAGCACTCTCATAAAACCCTTTGTATGTGTCATTTTATCTGAGTGTCACAACCTCTGTTTGATACAGATATTACTTTCATGTCTATTTTACAAGAGAGGTCAGAACTTTAATGCCACAATGCCAGGAAGTGGAAGACCCAGAATTTAAATCTGTCTTCCTGGAACCAAAGCCATGTTCACATCACAAGTCTGCTTTTTCTGGACATTTTTGAAATGCTGTTGTTGTTGTTAAGCACAGTCTGGTTGGTTCCGACTCATAGCAACCCTGGGTAGCTTTTCAAGGAACAGCTGGTGAGTTTGAAACACCAACCGTAAGGTTCAAACTGACCTTGTCTTCGATTCCTTATCCTACCGTGCCTATGTTATCTCAGTACCAT